AAATATGATAGTATTAATTAACTTTGGAAAGATCAGATATGAAATAATAGTTTCAGATATCAATATGTTAAATGCATAAAAAGAAAAACAAAATATTTTTTTTAATGAAGTGCTTCTTATGGTGAATGATCTCATAATTGTTTTCTTAAAATCTTTAAGGTATTCCTGAGATAAAAACAATTTTATCAGGTTTTATAATGTATGGTTATTTGGGTAAATGGACATTCTTTATAAAAAGTATTGGAATGATATTTGCAACAAGTGCAGGTCTTATTGTTGGTAAAGAAGGTCCATTTGTACATATATCATGTTGTTGTGGAAATTTATTTTCAAGTAAGATAAACAATTTTTATTGTATATATTTAGAATTTAATTTGTTTATTTTTTTATTTTTACAATTTAAAATTTAGAACTTTTTCCTAAATATGGTAATAATGAAGCACGTAAACGTGAAATATTATCTGCAGCTGCTGCTACAGGTGTTTCAGTTGCATTTGGTGCTCCTATTGGTGGAATATTATTTGGTTTAGAAGAAATAAGTTATTATTTTCCATATAAAACATTATGGCGAACATTTTTCTGTTGTATGATTGGTGCTTTAGTTGTACGTACAATAAATCCATATGGTAATGGACATGAAATACAATTTCCTGTTGAATATAATGTACCATGGGCAACATTTGAAGTTATTCTATTTATTTTTCTTGGTATATTAGGTGGTTTATGGGGAGCATTATTTATAAAAACAAATATTCATTGGTTAAAATATAAAAAAACTAATCATATTGGAAGATATCCAAGAGCAGAAGTTATTGTTTTAACTTTAATAACAGCTATTGTTTGTTATCCAAATAGTTATTTAAGATTAACAATGCCTGAATTAATAAGACGTTTAGTTGGACAATGTCATCTCGATGATCATATGGATTTATGGTATGTTTATATTAGTATTATTATTTTAAATACAATTGAGTTTTAAATGTAAATATCTTTGAGAATGCTGCTGCGTAGTCAAGATATTAAATTTCTAAAATTATGAATAAATTCATGAGCTATCGGTCACATTTTCGAATTCTACTCTTGTTTTTTTTTTTCTTCTCTGAAATAAGAAAAAACATAAATTCAACCATAAATCCTGGATCAATTAGGAATTTAATAATACATAAATTATATTTTATATTTATAGTGACTATGAACGCGACAAACCAATTGGAACAGCTACAGCTAAATTATATGCTGCTTTAGCTGGTCCTGGTCTTCATCGTGCTACTTGGCAATTATTTTGGGCATTAGTTGTTCAAATAACTCTTGTTATTTTTACGATTGGTACAAAAATTCCATCAGGTTTAATTATTCCAAGTATTTCAATAGGAGCTATTGCTGGTCGTCTTATTGGTATTATAACAGAACAAATAGCATTTCAACATCAACATTTAGCTTTATTAAGACATGAATGTGGAGTATCAAATGAACATTGTGTTACACCTGGACTTTATGCTGTTGTTGGTGCATGTGCATTTTTAGGTGGAGTTAGTCGAATGACTGTTTCATTAGTTGTTATTATGAGTGAAGTTACAGGTGGTTTATCTTATATTGTTCCATTAATGATTACAGCATTAACAGCTAAATGGGTAGGTGATGCATTTGGTGAAGGAATTTATGAAGAATATGTTAAATTAAGTGGTTATCCATATTTAAGTAATAACAAAAAAAACAATAAAAAAAATAAAATTATGTTTTTTTTTTTCTTATTTATTTAGGAAATCGTGAAAGTTTTCCATTTACTTTAAAAGCTGGTGAAGCAATACGTGCAGATCGTTCAAATGAAAATTTTACATTAGCATGTGTAACTCAAAATGGTATGACTATAACACAAATTGATTCACTTGTTCGTAATCATCCACATTCAATTTATCCTGTTATTATTAGTACAGATTTTCCTTGTCTTGTTGGTCAATTACAACGAAAAGATTTATTAGCTGTACTTAAATCACGAAAAATGCAAATAACAATGACACAAACAAAACCATTACTTAATAGAAAAGTATCTGTTGTATCAATGTCGAATTTATTAAATAAATCAGGTCAACTATCATCATTAGGAATGCGTCGAGCATCATTAGCATTACAAGCATCAAAAGTATTACAATTACATAAATTAGTTGATAGAGCACCAATTATTGTTACTGATCAAACACCAATGGAAACTGTTGTAGATATGTTTAGAAAATTAGGATGTCGACAAATATTTGTTACAAAAAATGGGTAGAATTCTTTTTTGTTTTTGTTTTCGAAGATAGATAATAACAATGTTTTTTGTTTCCTTTTTTTTTTTAGTCATCTTCAAGGTATTTTAACTCGAAAAGATATTATTCGATTGATGCATGAAGCAACTGTATCAAGAAAATTTGAACATTTAAAATAAAAGTTTTCTTTATGTTTATAGGAAATATCATAGAACCATTTGTTTTTTTGTTACAATAGGAGAAATGTATTTCTAAACATAAATTTATTTATTCAATAAGATCGATGGAAGCTATTCTTCTTTAATGTCTGATATTGTATTTCGAATAAATATTCAAATAAACAAGTGACTTTGCTGTAGAGCCGCCCATCGAATTGATTCCTGTATATTTTAATTGAATACATAATATTCTCTTTCATTAAATAATATTTAACTTAATTATAGAGTTGTAACTAGTTCGATCGGTTTTTATGGGTTTAAAAAAATTTTTGAGGGAAAAATTTTTCCCTAGAACCTCTCCGAGATAAGTCAAAAATAAATTTTACAATGTTCTCGGTATATATTTTTTTTTCTGATAAAACATGTCAATTGTAAGTTAAAGTTCTTGTATGAAAATAATTGTGTTCTTTGAAAAAGCTGTTACTCTTAGTATTATCTGTTTGTCTACAACTTTTTATTTTTATTTTATTTTTTTTCATTTCCTAAAAAACACAATGAATACTATATTAACTAAGATAAAGTTCTCAATTTATTTTACTAATATTATATCAGAGACTATATTTGAATTTTAATAATTGTTCAAAGAGAAACATTAGATTTTTCTGTGAAATCTAACTGAAAAAAAAATAAGGTTCGAAGCTAAACAATCAGCTATCAAGCAAATTGACTCCTTTTTTCGTGCAAGAGGAATATTCCATGTTGATCTTTGGAAATCTTATACATATAAATGACTATGGCAGAATATTCCAAAGACATAAGTAAAAAAATAGAAAAATGTGTTTTTTTTTAAGTCTCTGCTTTCAACGGATAGAATATGCCCTAAGAAACCGGCCGAACCAGACAGGAGTGGCTCGAGAATTCTCGACCGGTGACAACTCTGCTTAGTTACAGCTTGCCCTACAATTTAGAATCAGAATAACTGTGTGATTTCTGTTTCAAATAACCAACTAGCAAAGAATGGGGTTGTGACAAATTAGGAGAATGAAGTTAATGAATCGTCAGAAACATGCTTTGGTTCCTAAGTGTTCTAATATCTTTCATTTTATAAGGTCGTGTACGGTCATGGTGCACTTTTATGACGTGTATACGAGACTTCGATCTTTCTTCTCTAATATTGTTAAATAAATGTTTTTAGATAATTGTCTGTGTAGTAAACACGAGATATTGTGTTGCTGGATTTGACTATATGCATAAATTCTCGTCCTATTATTCTTTCGTGGACAGCAAACATATTCTTTTTCTTGTATTGACCTCAATTGACCACTTCTATTAGGCTTGAATTTTCAAAACTAAACTGTATCGAATTAATGCTATGATGATAAATCCATGTTTCTTTTCCTATAATAAATTCACATAGGGTGCGGTTGACTGATTTCCAAAGTGTGCAAGTTTTTGTTGACGTATGTTAATTCGTTATTGCTTGCATTTTTCGATTAGCTAACATTATATTCATCTTAAGTAAACCTTTTTTCAATGCCAATGCATGATGAATCATCCTTCTAATAGTTCTGTAGGACAGGCCTATTTCAAATATGATTTATTGAATAATAATGTGTGGATTCGTCTTAATTAACGCAAGAATGGCTTCAATATTTCTGCTGATGACTTCGGTTACTGATCAGTCGATTCTTAAATCATCTTCTATAGAGATTCTACCATATTTGAAGCATTGCATGACCTTCATACCATGCATTACACAATTCTGCAGGAAAACGCTTTGCTGTACAATTGAGTTTTATTCTCATATAAATGTAGAAATGAACATGAGTCTGATCCATTTCAAGATATATCATCCAGGAAAAAAAAAGTTCTATGGATGCTAAAAACAAACAATAAGCGTTCAATTAGTTTCATCGATCGGTTTGGTCCTGATATTGTTCCATGACCAAAAAGAAAGCTGCCCTCCAAAATGTGTCAATCAGTCAGAATTGAAGAAAGTTCCGCGAACGTTTGGATTACTTAAGGTATTTTATACGCATGAATGTTAGTGAAATATCTATTTGATACTTAATAGACTAGGTAACGATTTGAATTGATTCATCACTTTGGAGTTTATATTCTGAGCATATCGAAAGGATCGTTAGACTAGAGTAAACCCAAAAGGATTTTTTCTTACAGACTTTCTCAACAAATTTATGTGGTTTTACTTTATTTGTATCTAAAACCACTTTAATTGATATTTTGAGAATATCAAACTGGCAGAATTCTGTAGAGAAAAACAATGAGTGCAGAAGTGGTGAATCAGTTTGAATGGTTCCTATGTAACTTGTTTGAACAAGAAAATATTGTTTTCTATGTAGATCATGGATTTGACAGGTAAATCTATTTTTTAATTATTTTCTGTCATTTTTCTCATGTGCACAATATCGCTCTTGTCTGCCTGTCACATCGAGATATAATTTCAGTTAAAGACAATCTTGTCAAATAAATACCGATATGGTATCGCTGACTGTTGGCTCTGTCTAAATACTATATAAGAAAAATTGTCAGTGATTTAGAATCATAAGTGTAAAAGAATTGAAGAGTTTCTTATAGTATGAATGTATCTATGTTATCATCACCGATACTTAATAATTCTGGTCTTGGTTTAAATCCTCCTCCTAAACCTCCAGCACCACCTATTACAGATATTCAAAGTAATATTGCACTCTTTGGATATGCTCTTCTATTTATTCTTGGTTCATTTGGTCATACAAATAGTTTTTTAATTTTTCTTCGACCAATACTGCGTCATATTTCAACAAGTTGTTTATTCATTGCATTAACTATATCCGATTCTGTTTATCTATTGGTTAGCATTTATGATTTTATTAATACAGGTCTTAAAATTCGTGATACATCATTGAATGCTTCAGCTATGTGTCGATTTCGTAATTATATTCAATGGATAGCCATGTGTTGTAATGCATGGTTATTGGTTGCTATTGCTATTGATCGATGGATTCGTATTAGATTTCCATATAAATCAAAACAATATTGTACACCACGAAATGTATTGATAATAACAATAATAATTATTATTTTTTTTGCTGGTTTTAATGCTCATGTTCTTGAAGCTGATTATGGTCAATTACCAGCTGGTATAATGACAGTATGTGGACCGAAACCAACTAATCCTATTTATAACACATTTGTTCGTCAAATTTGGCCAACATTATTTTCATGTATTCAAACAATTTTTCCTGCTATTTTAATGATTATTTTTTCAATTGATACATTTCGTCGTTTAGCTCGACAAACAACAATTCAAAATACAAATCGTGCACGTCGTCGAGTTCAACTTGATAATCAAATGTTATTAATTATGTTAGCTACAATTGTATTATTTGTAGCTACTACATTACCATTAGGTTTATTTAATATATTATTAACACCTGTTCTTCGTGGACCAATGAATCAAATACAACTATTACAATTATCATCTATAGTGATGTTTATAGCTGCAATTAATCATACTCTAGATTTTTATATACATTGTTTAACAAGTCGTTTATTTCGACAAGAATTTTTACAAATTTTTAAATGTTCCAATAAAAATATACAAGTAGGAACAACAAGTACTACATTGAAAATGAATCCCACGAGAATCACAATGACACAAATTCACGCACGATGGTTATCCAATATGAAAGAATAATTATATGAAAATTGACTTTGAATAGATTTTTCTTATTGATATGTAGTAATTCTCTTGTATACAAATAATTAATAAAACTAATAATATATCAATTTTCTCGAAGATGCTCACCACTCAGACGTGGATGGTTCATGCCTTAATCTCATCAGTTGTTAAACTCTATTACTAAGAATTTTTAAAAAAGAATATACATCAAACACTGAAACGTGAATAGAACCGATTTAATCATTGACAGATTCAGATACTATTGTTTTTTTAATCACTCCATTTCATAGTCATTTGTTAAAATTGTAATCAATGCTGATAAACAATTATTCTGATAATAAATTGATCTAACTCAAAACTTAGTGAATTTCATTGTGACGAATATCATATTTAGTTTAATCTTAAATTTAAATGTTCGTAAATTCAACTAGAAAATAAATTAAAATAGAAAAAAAACACTCTCTCAGTGTATATACATGAAGCACTATTTTTTAAAAGAAATATTATAGAGCAACAAATATAAGGAAAACTTTGTTTTTTAGTTATCGTTAGGTGCAACCGCTCCGCGCTTCAACGACCACCATCGCTTTTTACACTGTTCTTGCCTCAATTTTCAAGCACGATACACATCTTTGGGTTTTTTTTTATAGATATATCATCATTTATTTTGATAATTACATCAGTATATTTGTATGTCTACGACAACATTTTCCTCGGACAAAACAATTGATAGGAGAAAATATCATTTGTCGACGAGAAACATTTTATTCTAACATAATAAGTTAGATTACAACAAAATACGTATATCATGTCTTTTTCTAAAACAGTAAAAATAACTTTACAAGATTGACAATATGACAGATCATTTTGATATCTTATTAGAGAATGTCTTCTTCTTGAACATCATTAACTTGATAATAAGTACCAAAACTAATTGTTATTCTATACTTGAATATGATATTTATTCATGAGATCAAATAAAGTTGCTCATGTCATAAACAGAAGATATTCAAAACAATAGATGAGACTTTTCTATCTTTAATTGATTTGATAAATTCAAAGAAAAAAAATATTTCAAAAATCTCAATTTAGTGATAACTGACAGATATTATCTCTTTGTAAACAAAATCTATTGAATTGACAAGCATCAATTATAGGAACAAAATAAGAATCTATCTTTATTTTCAGAGATGTATTCATTTTGTCAATTTAAACTATTCTCTGAAGAAATAAATCCTTAGAAATATCATTACCAAGAGAGATAGTTCTAGTTAGATTTATTTGAGATGAAACTAAATCCCTTAAAATTCAAATCTTTCATACATTTTCATAATTATTTTTTTTTTTTTCTAAAAATTTGTTGAAGATCACTTTGTTTTCTTGAAGTTGATGATAATATCATAACGCTGCTCTATTGACATTTCTTTCGTCAAGGAAATCCCTGAACTGAACTGTTTCATTGATAAAAAAAATCAACTCATTTGATTAAAATAGAGTAGAAATATCCAATTTTTTTTTTACTATGGCCCATCGATGAGTCACATCGTCATTTACTTGTTAACTCTAACGTAACTATACGGAGTCTACGCAGATCGTAACCATTTGTAAGTATACAGTATTAAATGAAATCGCTCATTTTGCAGTTATACTATAGAGAATATTTGTAAAGTACACCAATAATATGTGCCAATTATGGTCAACTATTATTTATATAAATATCAAGTTTAAAGTAAAATATTCAATTATTTTCCATCAAATAAATCATTTGTATTAGAACATAATTCACAAGAAATAATCCAATAAAATGTTTTCTGTTGTCTAAATAAATCAAAAACGTAAATGTTGAAGCAAATTATTTTACATATGATATAAACGAATTCTGAAAAAATTTTCTCTTGACTTTAATTGAACATATTAAGGTTGAAAAGAATTTATTTTTTTTTAAATCTAATATCTATTTGTAATTAAGATGACTAACACCAATAAGAATTTATTTTTCAAATATTGAAGTGAAAATTGTTTAATATCTTAATTTGAACGATTTTAATCGTTTTTGAAATTGTTAATATGAAAAAAAAAGAAATGATATACACAGACAAAACACAAAAAAAAAAGATCATCAATTAATCCCAATTAACACGACGACGACCATAAAACTAAATAAAAGAATTTTAAATAACAAAACAAAAAAAAAGAAAGAAAATGTAAATTACTTTTGGTTCAACAGTTGTAGCAGAAATAACAGCTTTTTGTTTTCGTACTAATTGATCCATTTGTTTTTTCTCTTCACGTTCAATAGCATCTTGTTTTTCTAAATCTAATTGAGATTGTGCTCGTTCTTGTTGTACAATTGATATCTAATTGTAAGTTATTTTTAATTTTAATTTCTATTTAAGAAAAAAAAAAAACAAATAAAATTTACTTGTTTTTGTAAATCTTGTTTTTTTTCTTCTCGTTCTTTCATTTGTTTTTGTTTTTCAATTAAATCATATTTTCTAGCTTGTTCCATATCTTCAATAAGTGCTCGTCGTCTTTCATATGTTTCTCGTTGTTGTTCTTTTAATGCTTGTAATTTTCCCATAACTTGTTCTTGTCGTTCATCCATTACTTGACGCATCAATTTTTCACGTAATTCTTTTTCACGATCCCATTCTTGTTCACGACGTGCCCATTCTTTAGCAGCTTCCTCTCTTTAACAAAAACAAAAAAACTCATCAACACAACCCATTTGATACTGAATATATAGAAATCATATACATCCTCATACATTAAATATTGTTTCAGAAAGAAATCAATCGAAATTTTCTAGAGAAAATATTAGTTAACGAGGCATTAGTCAGTCCCATAGGAAGAAATTCTTGAGACCTTCTCTTGAGACTAATATTAGCTCAAACGGTGGATCTCAGTTGAAGTAATTCTCTCATTAGAATTTTTTTTGTAACTTTTGATTAGTAAACTATAAGTGGATCTTGACAAGTCTCACAAAAATATTTTTGGAAGAAATAACTTGTTAAAGACACAACACACTATTTTGTGTCAGTTGTTGAAGTCCAGTAAAGGTTTTTATCAATTTTCTTTTTTTTTAGTGTGAAATGATCCTTCCTCATAACTCTACTTGTGATTTCCTCTAGAAACTTTCGGTCTACTCTTTATAATTAGTGTACATATGAATACTTTAATTCTATACTCTTTTTTTTTTCCTTGCTTCTATCTTTAATCTTAAAATTTCAACCAATATTGTTCGCTATGCAAATCTCTTTCATTTGTCTGTATAATTACGAGTCATAGTCTTATTAGAATAGGGTGAAACTTCAGCTATCTTCTTCAAAATAAAATATCATTTTTTTTTTCGAGAAAGACTTACTGAAACATAGCATCAAGTTCTTGTTCTTTTTCTTTTTCTAATTTCATTTGTTGTTGAAATTGTTTAAGCATATGTAATGCATCACGTCTTAATTGTTCTCGTTGTTCAGATTGTTCTATACGAGTTTCTTCATCTGTTTGAGCAATTGATGCAAGAATTTTCATATCTAATTCCTATCAATTTAATAACAAAAACAAAAAAAGAAACAAATCGAATAAAGCATTTTAAATAAAAGAAAATCGGATAAATCAAACAAACCAATTGTTCTTGAATTTCTTTAGCTCGTTTATGTAATTTAGCTTTATGTTGACGTAAAAGTTGACGACTTTAAACAAGATAAAAACAAATAGAAAGAAAATTTGATAAAAAAAACCTATACCCATAATCTTGTTGAATATAACGTTTTTCCATTTGTTTTCTTTCTTCTTCATATTGATCTAATTCCCATTGTTCACGAAGAAGACGTTCTTCTTCTTGTTTTAATATTTCAGTCTAAATCAAAATAAGAAATTATACAATGCATATATTTCAAACCCAACGAATCCGTTAATAGAAAAAACTTCCTATATGGATAAAATTAATGCATACCATATATGATTATCTTCAATTTTAATATCCTCAAGAAGGATCCATATAATTTAGAATTCACTTTTTGAATTTCTCATTCAGTTACAGGAGGATATTTCATTGTTATGTACAGAAATTAGAAAACATTCGACTACGATCAGAACTTTGTATTCTTTCAAAATATGAATTGAAAATTTTTTTTAAGGATATCTGAAACCTTCTAATCAAATATAAGTGTATAACGATGTCTACTTATCAATTACATGTTACTTATTGTTCGTCTTTTGTATTCAACCAATGACCACTCGAGAATGAATTCTTTGAACGACTACTCATGAAAATTACAGAAGACATTTCATCTTCTTTTAATTTGATGAATCATGAACGAACTGAAAAGGGATCGAAACGAGAGAGAATCGAATTAAGAAAGGACTCAATTGAGAGATTATCAAATGAGACCGATTCGGGAGTAAACTGCAAGTTGAACTCTACCATTAATGAATGATTAGCATCAATTTTCTTTATCTGAACTTAATTAAGTACAAACAATGAAATATAGAAGATATTGTAGGAACATACACGATTATATTGACATTCAATATATCCTATGCTGATCCTTAATTGAGTTTTTGAGAAAATATTGAGTTGATATTAAAAAAGAATAGAAAATTGTAATTTTAATTGAATATTTTTGAAACGATTATTGAAAAATAAATGAATATTTTGAGATTAATTTCTTTTGTATTTATAGAAAAATATTTATATTTATAAGAAAGATTTTCAAAAAAATTTTGTTTTTTTGAGAAATAAAATGTAAATAAAACTCAAACCTCTTCTTCTTTTTCTTTAAGTTCATCCATTTGTTGTTGTAAAATAATTTTTAATTCTTCAATTCTTTTTTTTCTTTCATATTTTTCTTCTTGTTCTAATTTATCTTGTTGATTTAAACGTTGACGTAATTCTTCTTGATATTTTAAATTAAATTCATCTTCTTGTTGTTGTACTAAACGTCTTTCATTAAGTTGTTCCGACCAATATTCAGGTTGTAAATTTTCTAATTTTTCTTGTTCAATTGAACGTAAATCTGGATCATTTGTAATCCAATGTTCATATAATTTTTCATTAGCAATAACTTGACGTTCTTTTTCACGAGCTGAACGAAGAGATTCAGCACGTATTTTCATATCAGGAATTGATTCACGTGATGATTGACGAATTGATGATAATTCATTCTTAAATATTTAAAAAAAAAAAAGAGAATATTTTTTGTTTTATTTTCTTAACAAAAACAAATTTCAAAACCTGAAATTTAATTTTTTCAGCTTCTAAAATAGCAGCAAGACGATTCCGACGTTGTTCAAGATTATTTAATTTTTCTTCTTTTTCTTGTTGAACACGATGTGCTTCATGACTATAGTTTATTCATTATAGATAAATAATAACGAAATATTAAATGTTATTTTACCTTATAACACCTGATGTAGGTGATGTCCAATGACTGTGTACAGAATTATGACGAGTTTGTGCCTTGAAATAATTAGCTGTTTGAGCCCATTGAGCTCTAAACAAAAAAAAGAAATGATTAATTCTATTGAATATGTAATAGAATTTGTTTGTTACTTTTTTTCAGCTTCAATTTCTTGTTTTCTTTGCATTATTTGTTGAGGTGTTGCTAAATGTTTAGTCGCATAATGAGAATGTAATGTTGGAAGTACCATTTTTAATATTATCACGTTAAATAATTATTCAAATTATAGATTCAGATTGGATCTCAAACCATGAAGCTTTATTTAGTCTATGGTATTTACCTTTATAAATGAATTTTATTTTTCTTTTTAATCGAATAATTAAAGAAAAATAAATTTAGAAATTAGAATATTTATTTTTATTTTTATTTTCAATAAAATAAACTAGTTTAATCATATAGAAAATAGATGACACTAGTGTATCATTGTTTTAACTATTTTCATATAATAACTTTTAGAAATGAATACAGTTTTATAATAACATAATCTATTCGAAATACTTGTTTAATTAATAGATGTTACAAGTCTTCATACATATGAAATATAACCTAAACAGAATATTGATGTATACGAGCTAAAATTTAAAAGTTTTTCAATCGATCGTGACAGCAGAGATGTCCATCGCGGCGCTGCCGCTACCGCGATGGCGGTGGCGGCGCGGTAGCGGCAGATTTTTTAAAAAATCACCGCGGCAGCGGCAGGTTTTTTGAAAACCGTCGCGGCAGCGGCACGTTTATTTTATAATTCATCGCGGCAGCGGCGCGGCAGCGGCGCGGCAGCGGCGCGGCAGCGGCGCGGCAGCGTTTCTTTTATAAGTCATCGCGGTGCGGCAGCGTCGAGGCAACATTTTTTTATAAACCATCGCGGCGCGGCCGCGGTGCGGTAGCTTTTTTTTCTAAGGCCGCGGCGCGGTAGCGGCAGATTTTCAGCCGCGATGGACATCTCTGCGTGACAGACGTAACTATGAAAATGTCGTGACAAACATTGTTAATCTATAATTACAGACTATATTTTAATAACGTCTTTTTATAATATACGAACTACTTGTTGTACTTTGAGAGGATTAAATAGACAGATGATGAAGAAATCTATTCGAAAATAAATAAAATGAAACAATCTCCTTGTGTTTAGCAATCACAGCTAATCTGTCATTCCCATTTTACTCCTACAGAGATTGTACTAACATCTGTCTAATAAACTCTTCTGAATCCTTGAATCATTTAAGTAATTTATATTCTAGTGGAATAATCAACATTGATTTCAAGTAGCCGACGTATATTAAGAATTTTCTTTTGAACTCAATGCAGAAAAAAACTTTCATTCATCATAGAAATGATATGTTGTTTGTATCTTGTATCAACCAATCTTATCTTTATTGTTATCGTTATTACGTGTGTGTATGCAGAGTTATTATGGTCTTTCATAAAAAGAATCATTTTTAAAGATTTTGTTTTCTTTTTCAAAGCAAATAATTCGTTTAAACTATTATGTTTACAAGTAAAACAAAAAACGAAAGATACTATCTAAAACATTATCAAGATTGAACAAATTTTCAAATAAGAAAAAACTAATGCATAATAACCAATGATACAACAACTAATTATATTAGAAGGTAAATAATATATATTAAATAATAAAATGACATGAATTTTCATAGTAAATATAGTTCTTTAATTTATTATTATAGTTGATGAATAAAATAAAAAAAACTATACAGATTCATATGGCATTTTCGATGACGATGTTCCTTGACCGAGATTATGAATAAAATTCCAAGTAAATTTACAACCAGTAAGAAACAATTCACCTAGAATTAGCCAAAAACTTCGATTTGGTATAAGTTCTAAACCTGTTTGATTTTGTTTAACTCGATTATATAAAATTCCACAAATAAAATAGATAATAATTAAAACAATCAAGATAATAATAAATATAGCTCCACCTGAAATACCTCCTTTAAGTGGACAAGCTTCAGCTGCTTGTACTGTAATCATAAATTTACACATTGGATCTTCAATTACATTCATTGTTGTCGGTTGTTTAATACTTTTATCACAAATAAATGTAACATGAACAAAACGCTCAACACGATTACATTTCGCATTACGCATAATCATGACAATTCCAGTTCCTGGTCCTTGAGGATTTTCGCTAAATTCAAGATTAGGTAACTTTCCATATCCATCAAGAAAGCCCATAGGTGATTCAAACTTAGTTCCTATAATTCTTTCTTGACATGCAGTCATACCTTGTTCAAATGAACCTGAATTTTTTCCACATTTATCTGTTGGTACTAAATCACAAGGATTAAAAGCATATCGAAATGTTTTATCTTCACTAATAAGTGTTATATGATTTAATTGATTAAGATCATATTTATTCGAACCAAATGTTTGACGACATGTTTCAAGTGAACAATCAATTTGAATAATATTAAACAAAATAACAATTAAATAAAACAATAACATTGTTGATATTGCAAGACAAAAACAAACGATAAAAAAGGTATGCTAAAGAGATAAGGTATCTTTTTTTGTTTTTCTTCTTTATATCATTTATGGTACTAAGTGCATTAACAATTTATTTTGTTTTATTTTCCCTTTTTTTTTTCAATTTAGCCAATAAATCTTTATTCATCATTTTTCCTTTCCTTGGTTTTTTTTTTAAATATTTCATTTCATATTGAATTGAAATGTAAGTAATATAATTATAAAACATAAACGATGAAAATTAAACAAAATGAGCAAAAAAACAAAAACAAAAACAAAAACAAATTGATGATACTGAAATAAAATATAGATGAATTATTAAAATTGTTGTCGATATTTATTAGTTGATATAATTGATGTATCATTACTGTTTTGAATAGTTTTTTGTTGTTGTTCATATTCAAATTTAAGTTGAGCTAACATATGTTCATCATTTGGTTTATTAACATAAATAGATAAATAATTAAATAATTTTTGTATTAATTGATCATTTGTTCGAATTTGTTTTAATTGATTTATTTCATTTATTTTATATTGACGTAATTGTTCATATAAATATTTAAGTAAATCTTCATATTCAAGTTCAATTTCATTTGCTAAACGTTGAGATTTTTCACAAGTTATTATTTTTGTTTCAAGTTCATCAATTGTAGCACGACATGTTTCGATTTCATGACGAAGTTCAACAATAATTTCACTATCATTTTTATTTGAAGAATTATTTGATGAAGAATAAAATGGTACAAGAAGATTTATACGTTCTCCAAGAATAATACTTGATTGACGTTCAAAATCTTTTAATGTTATACGACCATCTATTATTCAATCAAAAAACAAAACAAAATATTTTATACAATATACAGATTTTGATATATTATACTCTTGATATTCTAGAACATCTATGGGAAATGCCAGTGTAACTTGTAGATTAATCGAAAGCAGTACAAAGTGCAAAAGTCCATCGAACTTTTTCCAACTGGCAAAAGTCCACTGTACTTTCGACAATTAGCGAAATTCGGGATTCCATAAATGACTGTTCAATATCTTTCGATGATTCACTATTTAACAATGGATGATAGTTTTATTGACTTTATGATATTAAAATATATTTTCAAATTAAATAGATCTTAAAAAATGTTTATAAAATCATTCTAGAAAATTTAGAACTTCTGAATATATATTAGACATTGAAGTTATTCAGAATAAAATTTCAGCATATGATAAATCATTTTTGAGATGAGTCTTATTTCGTTCGACGGGCTCTATTCAAACTATAGATAATCTTATAAGATTCAGGTCTATAGTTTTTCAAGAACATATTATCGTTTATCTTACATCATCTTCAAAATTTTACGGAAATAAAATTCTCAATAGAACTAATTTTTTTGTGAAGTTCTCAGCATAGAAAATGATACTTTTATAATATATTGATTCTCTTGAGAAGTTTATCTGCACAAGATTGGAATTTCAAAATGTAATTTTGAAGATGATCTCAGATAAATAATGATAGTAGATTGTTGAAAAACTTATTAAAATGTTCATCAATCAACAAGAAAGATTGATGAACATCAATCCTTGAAGACTTTTTTTTAAAGTTTCAATAGGATCCAGAGATGGACAAAGTCGCACCGCGCCTCCCCGCGCCGTTGCTCACGCCTACGCTACACTAGTCTGAGCTTCTATGAGCGCATGCTTAGAGCATCCCGGTATTCGGTGGAGTTTGAGAAACAGATTGGTAGAGCAAAGAGAAAGAGAGATGTGCGTAGCGCCTAGGCGCGAGCAGTGGCGCGGTGCGATTTTGTGCATCTCTGATAGGATCCATTTGATGTAGTAAGACGCATCTCCAGTATTAATTATCTTCTGACGAAATTTAATATCTATATTTGAATAAACATAAATTGACGATACTATTAATGAAGCCATACAAATCAACTTTTGAAATATTCTTTAAAATATTTGATATTTATTATTATCGATTCAACTTATATCTTTAAGGCTTCTATTCTTTTCACTTGTATTTATTATTAAAAGCTTGTATCAATACTTTTTTTTTTTTTTTTCTAAATTTCATCAAAATCAATTAGCTTTTTCAAGAATGACCCAAGCAAAAAGGTCAAGAGAGTGACCCTTCACTGTTATAAAAATTTTCTTTTTTACTTCAACTAAATTCCAGGATTTTATTGTTTTATTCTGCTCGTTGATTTCCAAAGAATAATTAGTTTTAGTAAAAAATCTTCTAATAAGACTTATGAGTCATTGACTTCCTTTCAATTCTGTCGGCCTCAAATATTTTAAGAATAACATAGCGTAAACTTGATATAATTAAATAAATAATCAATTGATTGATATTCTATCTAATTTATTTATGTAAAAAATAATATATATTACCAGTATTATTTTCGGATAATTGTTCAATAAATTGTAATTCTCGTTTTTGATCATTCGAAAATAAATTTGGATAAGTTTTTTTAATTAAATCAACAAGATCAATTAATTTAAATCTTGAATTAAGTAATGCTTGAAGAGCATCATGTGAAACATCAAGTCCTTTTAATAATTGATTATTTTCATATTGTTGTTCATTATTATTATTATTATTATCATATGTAAAATTATATGCACTATGACGATGTTGTTGTTGATTATTATGATGACGATGTCTTCGAGATGATTTTCTCATTCGAACTTCATTTGTTGTAATATGATTATTTCGATTTTGAGCTATATTATGATATCGATGATTATCATCATCATCATCATCATCTGTAGATTTTTCATCATGTAAAAGTTTTTGATATTCAATTGATGATGATGATGGAAAAAAATGTTTAATACGAAGTCGAACTTGATTTGTAGCAGCTGCTGAACGAAGAATATTAACAGCATGTTCACGATTAATACCAATACATGGTTCATCATTTATTGAAAGTATTTGATCGCCAATCTAATATATTTATATAATTATTTAAAATAAAATTTTATTTGTATAAAATTTACTTTTAATCGTCCTTCTTTTTGTGCTAATCCATCATCAAGTATTTGTCTTATATAAATACCTGATCGATTTGTAGCTCGTTTAGCACCTAAAATTCGAATTCCAAGTCCATTTCGGCTATTTGAATATACAATTAACTCTTCTATATTTGCCATTGATGATAAAATAGAAAAGATCGGTGGGTGGAATAATAGGGCATAGCGCTTACAAAATACTATGTTAATTTCAGCCTTGCATACATGCGCACAGATGAAGAAACAGAAGAGTAAAAATGGCAACAATTGAATTGAAAATCAGTCATAGATACTTCCAAATATTTCTATAGGACACTGTTAAAGACAATCAAATTTTAACTAGACAACTCCATTCATTAAAAATGCCTCATAACCATAAGGTGACATCTACAGAAAATAGGTAAAGATTATTGTCAAAAAAATTCAATTATTATTCATATTCTCTAAAGGGTTCAGTTATAATTTGTATTAATTATTTTTATATTATCTTTCTATATGAAGTTTTACTTTAGAAAAATTATAAATTATGATAATAGTAATACCGAATTAGTATGCATTGCTATGAATAGCTTGAATATATATTGAAAAGAGTTGTTTGTGTGTTTCATCTCCATTATTATACATTTCATTCGTTTGTCTATGATTCAGAAGTCTTCTGAGAAGAAAAAAACTTATGCATGTCTATTGAGATATGTCAATGAGTTTATAGTATAACGGGTCATTCGAAAGTAAAGTATTGTCAACAACTACTAGTAAGAATGCTTTTTTTCTTTGAGAAAATGATTAGAAATTTTGGCTCAATTTTTGTTCAAGAATAGTAGAAATTTTTGTATTTTGATTATTGTGATTCAAAACTAAAAGTTGCAAACTTTATTTTTATATTAAATTATAGCGATGTGAAACTACTCTACAAAAAATCAACAACCTTTCTACGTTGAAAGAAGTTCTTGAGAAAATGCCTGTAATCTCACTTCGATCAAAACTACAGCTTTAGTCAATATCATATGTGGTAGAGAAGTTTCTGCTCTACAACATGACTGATTTTGAAAATTTATGTCAGATTCGAAAAAGGGACGTATAGGATATACAAAAACCTATTGACTCTTCATTTTTAGATCTTTCAGAAAGTCTCTCACAGCTTTTGAACAAAAAATAGACATAAGATTTGTAAAGTTATATTCACATATCGGTCACGATTGTTTAAAAGAATAATAAATTCGCTTGTATTCATGAGAAAATATGATGAACTATGTAGATCAACGATGCATATTTATGATGTTCAAAGATAAAGTTGGTGGCCAGAACAAATCAGATTATGAAATTTTGTGAAAACATTCCGGAAGACTATATTCTCTTATAATGAATGTAATGAAAGCTTTTGATTGTAATCAAGTAAAGGAATTTAGTTTCAAAAAAATATACAAAAAATGAAATGCTTGTCATGAATGAACAAAAAAAGTATGTTAAAGATAACAATCATTTTTTCATACATCATAGATAAAAGATAACACAAAACTTGAGTTCATCTCGTGTTTAATATTGAAATGATTTAAAGTGATTAATATTTTTGAATTTAGGTTTCGATGACCATATTAACTTCTTTTTTTTTTTTATATAAAATCCTCACTTTATGAAAACATACTACATAGTCATTATTTCAATATAAGCATTTGTTTTTTTGTTTATTCCAAATATATTGAAAGTAGAGAATGCTTGAATAATGTTTTTTTCAGTGGAATACGACTTTATCTTAAGGATCAGCAAATAATTTCAAAATTGTAATTTTAGACTTTATCAAGATCTGAATCTATATATTGTTTCAATTTGATTCCGGTCAGTTTTTTTTATCAAGAATCAGACTATACATGTTCATATTTATTGTTCTATTCTAATTGCGAGTTTGTAAACCGATTATTTTTATTTATAAACTCGTTGAAAGATGTTTTTTTACTGATCGAAATTCTATTTTCAAATATTAGAATTTTTGATAACTTGTATAAGTTTTTCAATACTTGAAACACAATATAAAACATTTTTTATTCTATAGCAGTTTAGTCATTGCTACATTTGTACTTATCTTCGTTCTTGCTGTACTATGTATTAGTATAAATTCTTCAGTTTTGTTGTTGTGGTTTTTTTGTATTTAAGGAAACACTTTTGATACTTGTCGAGAACAGAAAAATAAATATAAAAGTTAAGATTAATCTTGCAAATATTTCTCTCCGGACGAGTTGTAAAACTAATAGTCTCACTGGTGAAAATTCTCGATATTGATACATTCACATTGACTCTTGAAGAAACACTAAGTGAAGATTATTCATATAGGTTTTGCATGTATTCAAGAACTAAAAATTCTGACAGTTTTTTAAGTTATATGACTGTGAATCAGAGAAAAATTCTAAGTGTCAGCGAGACTAGAAAAAGGAATGTTGTAGATCTCTATAGATGAATGAAACTTCTTCTTTATTGTTGTAGCGTTGAAGTGTCTTTTTAACAATATCGAAACATGTTAAATCGCGTTTAGATGGGAGAATATGTCGACCAATTAGTTCCCATAAGTCTTTAATGTATATGTAGATATTTTATACAAAATTTCTAGTATAATGGCTTGTGCAGCGCACCAATTCGAATACTATGTGAGTAGCAAAGTTAGTGATATGTATGAATTAGTTTTTTTCTACTCTACGCTGTGTGAGGAATAACTTTTTTTTCTTTTAAAAAATATAATCAATATAAGTTTTTGTTTTTTGTTACCCTTGTTGTTTTCTTTCGAAAAAGTAGCTTTCCGTCAGAATGATCGAAATTAAGAAAACTGCAGAAAAAAGATAGTATCTGATCTGATCTCTCACAAACGACAAGAATTTTTACTGAACATCTCTTTTTTTTTCAAAAAATTTTGAAGACTTTTCTCATTGCCTATTCGAAAAAAATAGGCTGCTTTCGAAAAAGCTAAAAAGTCTTTTTCGTTTTTTCTCGTTTTATAGGTTTTCAACCTTGCATCCTAGAATTGTGGAAGAAGCTTCATTGTAGCAAACAGCTTTTTATTTTATTTGAAAGAGTATTTTCAAGGCGCCTTTTGATCCTTGTTTGGGGCATATCTCCTGAAAACGTCATGATATAGGGCTGAAAACTTTACCATAGCCTCTCCGCATCCGTCGCAACATATTCTACAAAATTCATGTAATTTGAATGTACTGCGCCCAAGATTAATTTTAGAGGAAGCTCTTAGAATAGCTTCCGATGTCTTCGCTGTTTTCATTATTAACAGAATCTCACTCTTTGTAATGTTTTGTATGATGATCTGTGACATAACATGAAAAGTTTTATTTCAAATAGATATACTTTTAGATTGCTTTTTTTTAAAGTAGTTTGTAGATATCTTTATTATTTTTTTCTCTATACTAATTTTGATCATGACTGCCGGACAAAACATTAATGATATAAAACATCTGAAAAAGATGACTGTTACTGGTTTGCTTCAATTATTTCTTCAACATCATCTAATAGAAGGTTCATTTCAGTTTGTTCAATAATTGAACCAATATCATTAAGATGTGTTGTTAAACTTTGAGCATGAAATGCTAAAATATTCATAGAAGTAAGCCAAAGAGCTATATTAAGAAATCGTTTGACTGCATCATGATAACCATATCTATAAAGAAGATATTTCCATGTTATTTCTGCATATTTGGTTTGAATCCTGAAAATCTCAATAGAATTGATAAAGTCTTCCTTGTTACTTGAATGATAACAATAAGTATTTTCACAGAAAGCAAATAATGAAATTGATAGTTTGATCAATACAATATCTGAATCAATATATTTTCTTGCTTCAATATGAATATCCATTGTACGCGTTCCATACTTTATGTTCATAGCTGTTAGGAAAGAATTGAGACCATATAAATGGCAATATTGCATTATGAATGAACCACCTATGCAACATACACTATTAGCTGCATTACGAAGTATGATAGAACGTTCATCAAATGCTAAATAACGAAGATCATCATTGGAACGAAGATATGCACCTGCTGTTTCATAAACAGATACTAAGAATTCATCTACAAGTACTTCATAAATGGCATAAGTGAATTGTGAAGCATTGTCTGTATCTATTAAACGTTGAATGAACGGTAACATTTGTGATTCTTTATAACAATAAAATAAATTTGTGAGAAGTGTCCATTGATTAGTTGTTAATAATGATTGATCTGATCGTAAAATATTTAATGTTGGCAACTAATAAATACAATATTGATTTATATAATAAGATAAGAGTTTTTCTATAAATTTATCAGCGATTTGAAAAAAAAACGAATTAAATAGATAAGATTTGAAATAATTTCGTCAAAAATACGATTGTATACAACAAAACAAATATTAGAAATTATTACTTCCATATTGCAGAAGTTCCTTAAAGGTCTCCTCATGATCGATTTGGACTAAAATTTTCAGAAATGAGTAAACCTAGTGAAAAACGTCCGTCTGATATATCAAATCAGAATGAACTTATGACTTATTTATAGTCTATCTATGAGTTTGAACAGAATCTTTTTAACTTCATTACAAGAAAAAATAGAGCTTGGCTTGTTTTCAAATTAAAATGAATATTTTTGCGCAGTTTTCTCAGAACTAAACATTGAAATTCACTTCCATTTAGTTTTGATAATCATTTTAGTACATACGATGTTAGAATGAGCAAAAAAACATATCACTTCATTAGACCCAACCTTGCTTTTTCAACACAAAAATTAACTAGAGAAGATCTGATTGGATAAAGGTTTACTTTCATTTAGACCTTTCAAATAAAAAAAAACTGTTTATATTTCGAATACTATAGAAATTACTTTAATTTTTCTAATTGAAAAATATATTCTGAGAAAAATGATAAATGAGTTTATATATGGATTTATTTCATTCAAGTTCAGAAACAAAACAAAAAAAAATTCTAAAAATAGCATATTCATAATATATTTAAGTGGAGTTTTTAGAAGCACGTAATAGATTATATAAGTCAGCACGATCTATCGTGCTTTCATTATGTAGGTATGTTTATTCAATACTGATCCAAGCAATAAGATAGATTTTCTGAAATTAGAAACTACGAAAATCTTTTAGAAAACAGAGTAGTTTTACTTGTACTAATGTCATCTGATAATCTTACCATCACTAATTGATCCTGTATTTGTTTCTTCACTGAAATACTTCCTTTTGGTTTCGTTTGTCTTGATGTTTGTAATTTATCAATATTCATTCCACATTTAAAACATTTAGTAAGTCGACATGATGAACATACATGACGAGTATTTATATTTATTTCACATTGACCACCAAAATCACATACAAATGCTACCTAAAATAATTAACATGAAAATTAAATGTAAAATAGAAAATCAATTTGACCTGTCCAGTAATAGCATTTCTTTTAAAAAACATTTTACATGCATGACATGAAATAACACCAAAATAAGAATATTCAGCTGGAACATTACATATTCGACATTGATTTGAATGAATTTTCGTCTTTTTACTTTTGATCGACATAAATTGATTTATTGTATTATTTGACCTCGACCTTCTCTGAATAAAATTTATCTGCGCATTAAACTCAATTATTCGAGAGAAAGAATAAGCAAGAATATAGAAAAAAAAACAAGTTTGTATCTATATTAATAGAAAAGATTATGCTGGTTATCTCACCGTTTCTTTTTTTCTATGCAGAAATAAAAATGTGCCGTTAACCCTAACCACTATATAATGTGTGCATTACTCGTCATTCTCTCTTACGTTGTTTTTAAGACTGAGAAAAAAAAACAAAAATTCTTTTTTTTTTCTTAGTCTTTTTAGTTCCTCTTCGTCTCGTGTGGCATCTATTACAAGATTTATTACCATATTATTAAAGTTAATATAAAACTACTATCGGAATCATAACTTTCATCAAAGATAATGCAAATATTTTAAATAAAACATAATAAAGAAAAACTAGTCATGATTTTTACAACATTTTTTCTATTTGTCGTTTATTGAGTTGTTTTAGATTTAATCATATAAACGTGTATGTTCTTGATGAATAAATCATCATTCAAAAATCCTATGGCTATTAAATCTAGTCAAAAACAATGGCAATCGAATGTAAAGTTGGTGTAGCTTCAGCTAAATACTCATATGTTGATGGTCTATCATGACATCGATGCATCATATTTTTTTAAACGAAATCCTATACAATCCATGTAAAAGAAAAACGACAAAAGATCTGTTTTTAATCGATTAAGAACGATTATTTGATTTTTCATCAGCGAAAAATTGATAAAAAACAGTATTTTTGTCGTTTTTTTTTACATGACAAGAACAAATACATGAATAATATCTATTTGTTTCTATGATGTTTATTTTCTTTATTCTCAGAAAATATAAAAATATGATTTTGATTGTCACTATGAAATAAACTATTAATCATCATGTATATTCGAATTGTCGACTTGTCAAATGGTTTTTTTTTCAAGTAAAATGCAGATTGAAATGATTCGATCTTCTAGATCAAAAAAGAACAAAACAAATTAAAAAAACAAAAAGTAATGATAGATCCTGTATAAAACATATCAACAACTTTAATTAGATTAATAGAAACTGAGACTATTTGATTATCATAATTGAGTAAATAATAATTATATGTACGAGTGAATTCTTGACAATAGGTGAAGTATTTTCTGTAACCATTCAAGAAACAAAATCGTACAATCACTTATAAATATAAGTGATGCGTATCCTTCTGGTTTGCTGACTCTTTTCTGAAACAATAGTACTCTATTGTGAATTAGAAACAAATCACTATGATCTCGTAGGATTTCGGTCGTGAAATATTTGGAGACTCAAAAAAAAACATAAATTTCTCTTAGTTTGACTCGATAAAAAGTATCTTTTGTTTTTACAAAGGAAAGACAAGTTGTCGATAAAGTCATATTGATTCTTCTCATTTTTTCATAGTAACGACGATAATATACCTTTTAAACCATACAATCATTTACAAAATTATATTCATTATTTGCCTACACTGTTTTTTATTTTTATTCGAGAACATACATCTTTACTAAAAGTTTTGTAGCGTTACAAAAACTTTTATTATAGCAATTATGTCAGACTTATTCACATACCATAATTGTAACGATTAGAGATGAGTTTAACAGTAAGAATTAGAGAAAAGATTATACATTAGAAACGGCAGAGAAAAGAATAATCAATGTGACAATTAACAATCTCCAATCTAGAATAGTGTTCTAGGCCTCGTTTTCCGTGTTTTAGATGGAACTTGACATACTCGATAGAATGTTATTATGAGATTTTCAACATGCGATATTCTACTTTGAACAGTGGCAACATATTTCTCTTGGCGTAGGACATGAAGGTGGTCGGTTAAAGATTGAATAACTCTAGAATGCAAGCAGTTGACGATCTATGATTTCCAACAATTGAAAAAGAAGACATGGAAATGTATTTTTAGGCAATCATAATTAGAATGAATTCATTTTGAAACCAATGGTTTCCGAAGAACATCCCAAAAAAAACATATAGAAATCGTTTCATTCCGATAAAATTTTGATAAGAACTTGGAAAATTTGCTTAAAAATTAACAAAATGAAATATTACTCGGTCGAACAGAGACACAATTTCATTTTGTTCAGCATTCAAATTGGAGAAAATAATCATTCACATTGTTCCTTGAACTATAAATCCCAAGTTTCTCTATCTAACAGACATGTGAAAATCAAAATTTCCTTAGAATGACCAACTATTTTCACGCATTTTTTAAAATGTTTCGAGAAAATCATTGGTTTCAAAATGATTTTGTAAAGATATTTCTATGTCTTCTCTTTCCTTTGCAGAAAGTCACAGTTTGCTTGCTGCTGGTATTTTTAACTGAATCAGTTTTTAACCGAGTAATCCAAGTTTCACGCTGATATTAGTTTTTCATCGCAGAAAATATGAAACTAATACTCATTTCAAAAAAGACAAAGGTTGAGTATTTGTTGAATAATTTTCGATAGAAACAAGATAGAAAACTGTGGTTTTCACCGTTCGAAAGACGAGATAAAACTGCATCGAACTGTATATATCATATTTTTCCAAAATGGTTTCTTCAGGGTTCTGGTCGAGTTTATCGAAAACAAAATCTTTGATAGTGTGAAAGTTCCGAAAATTTGATTCTCAGGAATGCATTAGAACTACTAACTAAAGGCCTTCAAACTGTGCAAATTCAACTTTAGTAGTTCTAATCTATCGTGAGTTATATATGTTCTACTAAGTTTTTTTTTCACCAAAGTTTTACGAACAATCGGTTTCTTTTCGTACTTTTTGACAAAAAGTGAGTCGTTTTAACCCATGAAAAAGCATCAAATTTTTGGAAAAACTTTATTGAAAGCCTTGAAAATGGAAGTATTGTGTTTGTCAAAGTTCAAGATGTAACCTTGTCACAAAGCGAGATTGTAAATCTTCTTATATTTTTTTATTCGAAGGGTTAATTTCATCAAAGATAGTCCATTTAATCTAATCAATACTTTAATAACAGGTTTTCTTATATCTTGTCATTACATACGATAAGAAAGTAAATAGAAAATGAATTTTTCAAAGCACATTCAAGTACCTCAGTATAATAAGGAGACTAATAAACTTCTTCAATACATTCAAGATCGTTGAATATGATTACATAATCGGATGAGTTAATGAAAATTATGTTGTAATGGTCATTTTCATGATGTATAGTTGCTTATAAATAATAACTATCTCAAAGAAAAATACATGCTGGAGTTTCTTTCCTAACTCATCAATTTCTTCTATGAAAGTTTTATTTCAAAACAAAATGGATTATTGATCTTCTCACATACAATCACCATTTTATCACAAATTGGAGCCTTTATTTCCTTATGCTACTACTCATCTGGTTCCGACTAGTTAAAACAAATACTTGTTACTTATCATTGAAATACTTTCTCTCACGCTCTGCTGATGACGTTGCCTCAGAAACAAATATATCGCATTATCTTTTCAACTTGTGCAGATTTAGAAAATATCTAGCTATTGAAAAACTATGTTCATAGCACGTAATATTATTATCTATACCGCTTGCTTAGAGATTTAATCTTGTCATTAACATGAGTTCTCCAAAAAAAACGATGCAAAATAAATGTTGTACAAGTTTTTCTACTTTTCTAAGATTATGAATGAAATAAGTATAGCAGTTTTGCAACGAGCTTTTACGCGAATGTAAATTAAAAACACAAGAAAAATATCAGAATTTTCGCACTTTTTGACTGAAAAATTAGTATCGTTTGATTTGATGCTGTAATGAAACTAGTTATACTATTCGATAGACCTCTTCGAGTGGCACATAAAACACTGACCATCATGTCTGAATCGCAATCCTAGATGGATCATCGTTGGATATTGTAAATCTAATTTAAAAATTCAACAGAGCATGTTTAATTCCACTTGAAACACTTCCTGAGTGAATCGATGTTGGAATTACTCGAGTTGGTTACTAACTTAACCTACATAAACAAAGTTGATTTTAAGGTTGCACTGATCTGAACTTTTATTTCGATCAGCTTTGAGTGTTCGTTAACTATTTTATAACAGTCGAATCTTCGAGTAAATTTCGTATCTCTATTGAAATGGTATAAGTATAATCGATCATTATGGATAGTGTCGACTATAGGATTGAAGTTCAGTTAATTCAAACCTTTCCAGTAAACGACAAGACGATTGAACATAGAGCTATTTTCAGTCATTGATACACTCATAATGTAGTCATCAAGCATAAAACTTCGTAGAATTTTAAACAAATAAGAATAATTGAAATAACTGTCAACGATATTATAGCCACAAAGAAATTTTTTTTGTTGAAATCTATTGGATTGTAGTCTATCGATTATACGGATATTGAATATGACAATGGAAAATTCTCTTTCGATCTTTATACACTGTTTTTCTAGAAAATTAATTGTACAATCTAAAAGTTTTCGCCAAAATTTTTTGTTTTGATTCGTCCAGCTTATAGAGGACATCAACTTTAATAGTCAGCCTACAATCCACAGGCTTTTGGTAAAAAATCAATTCATCAGTTGAAAACATGTCCTCGTCAGTATATTCAATAAGAAGCGTATTCAATTATTGTTGGGATAGCATCGATCGTTTCCATATAAAACAATAGTTGAAGGATAACCTGAACCAAAAACATGAGTTTCATCAGTTAAAATTCATGAAGTCAATTGTACACTATCTGATCGAAAGTTTCTCGATCTTATCATGTGTGTATCGAAGGAGCATGATATTTTGTGTATGTTCAAATATCATTTTAAAAAGGGTGTGTTGAATGATTTGAAAGAAATATAAAAATAAAATGCTGTACAAGATTTAGAAGGCTAAAATTTTGCACAAAATCTTAAATATATCTATGCTTGGTAGTAGAATACTTGATCTCACTTGACAACTTTTACGAGAGAGTCGGATAAGAAAAACGAACATTTTGTAACAACCTATGTATGTGATGATAGATGTCACTACAAGATAAATGATAGAATCAAAAAGAAAAAAAATGATTGGTGAAAAAATTTGATGCTTTGATTGATGAAAATGAGTCATCATTAAAATAAG